TGCTGTAGTACAAATGTGTTGACAATGGCACACCTGGCTGGCTGTAAATAACTTACATCTAGAGAGTGGTGATATCACTCGCGTAAGTTATAACTTACATTTGAAGTGTGGTGATATCGCTCCTGTAAGATATAACATGTTTTGGAGAGTGGTGATGTCACTCCTGCAAATTATAGCTTGTATCTGAAGTGTGGTGATGTCACTTCTGTAAGATATAACATGTTTAGGAAGCAGTGATGTCACACCTGTGATATATAACATGTTTAGGAAGCAGTGATGTCACTCCTGTAATATATACAGTTGTGCTCAAAAGTTTACATACCCTGGCAGAAATTGTGGAATTGATATTGAAAATATGAGTGATCATGCCAAAAATGCTCTTTTATTGGAGGATGATGATCATATGAAGCCATTTATTATCAAATAGTTGTTGGGCTCCTTTTTAAATCATAATGATAACAGAAATCACCCAAATGGCCCTGATCAAACGTTTACATACCCTGGAATGTTTGGCCTTGGTACAGACACACAAGGTGACACACACGGGTTAAAATGCCAATTAGAGGTTAATGTCCCACATCTGTGGCTTTTTAAATTGCAATTAATGTCAGTGTATAAATAGTCAATCAGTTTGTTAGCTCTTACATGGAAGCACTGACTAGGCTAGATACTGAGACATGGGGATCAGAAAAGAACTGTCAAACGTACTGCATAACAAGGTAATGGAATCTTTATAAAGATGGAAAAGTAAATAAAAAGATGTCCAAAGCCTTCAATATGCCAATCAGTACTGTTAAATCACCCATTAAGAAGTGGAAAGTTTGGGGATCTCTTGATACCAAGCCAAGTACGGGTAGACCAAGAAAGATTGCAGCCACAACTGCCAGAAGAATTGTTAGGGATACAAAGGGAAACCCACAGGCAACCTCAAAAGAAATACAGGCTGCTCTGGAAAAAGATGATGTGGTTGTTTTTAGGGAGTACCAAGGCCAAACATTCCAGGGTATGTAAACTTTTGATCATGGCTATTTGGGTGATTTCTGTTATCATTATGATTTAAAAAGGAGCCAAACAACTATTTTATAATAAATGGCTTCATTTGATCATCATCCTTCAATAAAAGAGCATTTTTCTGCCTCTGCCTGTGTAGTGATGTCTGGAGGTTTGTGTTGTGTTATAAGGGGCTTCTGTTGGTGGCAGTGTGAATTCCTGTGTTGCTTTGTTGTTGGGAATAGTGTTGGTTTATTGTAGGACTGTAAAATGCAGCCTGGAGGTCAATAAACTTGAAACTGCTCACACTTGGGGTCTGTTCCTGGCTTGGAGCTGTTTCCTCTCACCTTCCGCTTCTCACTGTTGTGTTGCAAGGGAAGACATGGCTGTTATAACTGCAGAAGTCTTTCATCTCCCTTTCTACATGCTCAGCTGTCTCCAATAATAAAACTGCAGCCTGGACGCTATAAAAATCTCCACTTAGTCACTGGGGGCTTTTTTCCCTTCTTCATGCTAGAAAACATGACCTGCACAATTGGTGACAGTCACCTGTTTGGAGAATTTTGCAAACAACGTATCAATAGATTGTGTTTATCGTATGATTGCAAGACATTTTGTACAGTTGGTTTTGAATGTTTAAAGGTGAAACTGCAAGGCACCAGCTAAGTAAATATCTGAGGTCTATACTGTGTATTGGAGATAAATTATCTGCTAAAGGATGTCATTCTGTACTTCCAGTGCTGAGATTTGACAGCTTGGCCATGTTGGAGACCTGATTCCAGTGCAACTTGGGCATCTCCTTGCCCCCTGGTTTGTGACTGTTAGCTCTTATTCTGTTCCCTCAGCATGGTTTTTGTCTGCACACCCAATTGGCTTTTATGCTGCCCCTCCATCTTCCAGTCTTGGTGCTGGAAGTAGGAGGACAAAATGCTGATATCAAGCAGGTTTAGATATGTCTACCAACTGTATGTGTTTATTGAAACAGATATGTCAATTTGAAAATTATAGAGGGCCTCAAGTGCACCCCATGACTGTTGGAAAGGTGCACACAATAGCAGCACATTTGTGAGCTTGAACTGCATTGCGTTAATATATACAGCCTATTCAAAATGGACTGTTGTATACCTTTAAAAGTGGTTCAACACTCTTGGGAAAAAAAAATTAAAAGTCAACAGTTACAAATCCTGTAGCTGCTGACTTTTAATAAAAGGTCACTTACCTGTCCAAAGATCCTGTGCTGCCCTCACCCAGGCTTTTGGGTGAAATGTTGGTCCTACATTTTTTGCAGCATACAGCAGTGTAAAGAGTAAACCCATTGAGAGTTATAGTAAACCCCCAAAAATGGTGTCAGTGGATGTAATAATATCCCCAACATTGGTATCCGTGCTTGCAATAATCTCCCCCAACATTGGTGTCAGTAGATGCATTAATAAGTCCCAGCATTGGTGTCAGTGGATGCATTGATAAGCCCTAGCATTGGTGACAATGGATGACATAACCCCCAGCATTGGTGTCAGAGACCAAAAGTATTGTTGTCCGTGTCAGTGCTCTAGGTGGCTGTATAGAAAGGAGCCCGAAGATACTGGTATATCGGCAGATATTACTAGCTGTGGAGTATGCCACGGTTGTAACACAGTAAGGAAAAATAGTAAAAAAAAAAACACACATAACTGGCAAGAAAAGGAGGTGATAAAACAAAAAAGTGGAGAAGTTTTAATTTCACCCCTTTATAAATAAACCACATAGCGTGTGACTCTGGAAGAGATCTCCATGGCAATATTTCAGCAAAAAAATCCCTGTCGTAAATTTAGCAGCGCACTCGGCATCCGGCCTCCTTGTGTGTTAGAGAAATGGTCAGCGGAGAGAGAGGATGTTTACAAATGAGAGGAAACCGTTTTATTGAGAAAAAAGTGAAACATTTCTCAGCACTTTGGCTAGAAAAGCTGGCTGTTCCCTGGCTGATTTTTACTTGTACTGCAGTTGGTTTAAAGTGTTATTAAACCAACAACAGTAAAATCAGTCTCTCTCTCTCTATTTATGTATATATATATATAGTAAAGCATGCTTGTTCTACTCACTGTAGAACCTAAGGGGTTAATCGTCTGCATTGTGTAAAAAGGATGTTTGATCCTGTCTTCTCTGATGCTTTCCTTCTACTGTCCCCAATCCATCTGCTGGTAGAACAGAGCCTTAGGGGCAAGCTACACATGCTCAGTTTGGTGTTTAATGCTGAAGAGGTTTCCCCCCCCCCCCCCCTGGGAGAGGGCATGTGATCAGCAAAGGGCCAGTTGGCACTGTCCAGACAGAGAGGGTCAGGGGTTATGCAGCCTCATAGGACAATCAGGGGAGAATGAAAACTCATCCTACAAGCTTTGACCAGTGCTCTGCTGGACAATGATAAAAGTCACAAGACTGCTCTAATTGCTGATGAGAATTGCATTATCATGTTCTGTGTACTGTGGGAGTACCAGCTATAGTGAATGCAGGGTCCTGGGTTTAGTAACACTTTAAATGTTGTTAACTGTAGGGAAGCAGCTGGGAATGAGTGTGTGAAGGCAACCAAAGGCTGTAGCCATGGTCTGGTCCTTGTCCAGAATGCTGGAAGACTTATACAATAATGTTTTATCGTCCCTGACTCACCAAGTGGATTATCACCTTCATCAGCATTTCTCTTACTAAATGTATTTGACATGATGTCACATGAGATCACATGTCGGATACCCCTTTCTGAATGACATCCAGAGTACCCTCAGCAGGCAATGTGGGCTGTGCTAGATGTACAGTCTAGATATATAGACAGATCAAAGTGTTATCCTGAGATAGACCTCACTCACGTATACATTGAAAATTGGTGGTAGGGTCACGTTTTTACCACTTCCCTCACTGCCTATCAGTACTGTTCACAGTGATCAAAACAGGGAGCATATGATGGTGTACACATAGCACCTGTAGGATTCACCAGGAGTTGATGATTTGCAATTGTCTTCATTTACTTCTATTGAAACATACTGCAAACATTTTAGGTGCCCTTAAGCGGCGGTTGCAAATCATCAAAAAGGTTGTTTTCCCATTTTAGCACTGTAAAAAAATAACAACATATCACGGGGTGTTTTAGGAGCATCGCTTGATGCGTTTTAAACATCAAAAACAGTCAAAAATGCCTAATAATGCTGTAAGCATTTCATGCGCTGTAAAGGTTGCTTTAAAATTAAGTGCCTGTGTGAATTTAGCCATAAAGTGGAGCTCCAGCTAAAACATTTGTATTTGTGATTATCGGAGCATCATAGTTTTATTTTTATGTTTAAAAGTGACACTAAATAATATCCTTATTCTCCAACACATCCACTACCTGTAATCTATGTATTACTCTGTAATCTCCTGCATTTCTCCTTTCCCCCCCTCACTTTCTTTTGTTTGGAATGAGGAGTACTTTTATTTGTGGACATGTACACTGCTCTGTACAAACTACACATCCCATAGTCCATCGTCAAATTAGGAAGCGAGCAAGAGAGGGTGCCTACATTTCCACATACAGTAGGATCATGGCGTATGAACATTCTAACAAAGTTGGATCTCCGTAGCAAACAAATGTATTAAAAGAAAGGAATTTGGAAGGCTGAGAACAATAGAGGGGACTTTTAAAGTTAAGAATACATACTGGAATAGAATTATATATTTTGTGTTAAACCAGTGTCACTTTAACAGTTTAAGCACTAATGACATATCCCCTAAAGGTCCTCTACAAGAGAAAGTTATGACCTCTTTATATGTCAGTGTGTGTGTATATGTATGTATGTATGTATGTGTGTGTGTGTGTGTGTGTATGTATGTATGTATATATATATATATATATATATATATATATATATATACATACACACACACACATACTATATTGCCAAAAGTATTGGGACATCCCTCCAAATCATTGTATTCAGGGGTTTCAATCACCTCCATGGCCACATGTTTATGAAATCAAGCACCTAGGCATGCAGATTACTTTTGCAAACATTTGTGAAAGAATGGCTCGCTGTCAGGAGCTCAGTGAATTTAAGCGTGGTACCGTGATAGGTTGCCACCTGTGCAATAAGTCCATCCGTGACATTTCCTGGCTACTAAATATTCCACGCTCAACTGTTAGTGGTATTATAACAAAGTGCAAGCAACTGAGAGCAACAGCAACTCAGCCACCAAGTGGTAGGCAACTTACAATGACAGAGCATGCTGAAGTGCGCCGAAGTCGCCAACTGTCTGCAGAGTCAATAGCTAAAGACCTCCAAACTTCTTGTGGCCTTCAGATTAGTACAACAACAGTACATAGAGAGCTTCATAGAACTGGTTTCCATGGCCGAGCAGCTGCATCCAAGCCTTAAATCACCAAGTGCAATGCAAAGAGTTGGATGCAGTGGTGTAAAGCACGCCACCACTGGACTCTAGAGAAGTGGAGATTTGTTCTCTGGAGTGACTAATTGTGTTTTTCTGTCTGGCAATCTGATGGACGTGTCAGAGTTCAGTGCTTGTCAGAAGAAGGGTACTTGCCTGACTGCATTGTGCCAAGTGTAAAGTTTTGTGGAGGGGGGGGGATTATCGTGTGGGGTTGCTCTTCAGGGGTTGGGCTTTGCCCCTTAGTTCCAGTGAAGAAAACTCTTAAGGAGTCGGCATACTAAGGCATTTTGGACAATTTCATGCTCCCAGCTTTGTGGGAACGGTTTGGTTTGGGGATGGCCCCTGCCTATTCCAACATGACTGCACACTAGTGCACAAAGGAAGGTCTACAAAGACATGGATGAGCGAGTTTGGGGTGGTCCTGACCTCAACCTGATAGAACACCTTTGGGATGAATGAGAGCAAAGACTGCGACACACTCCTACACCTTGTGGACAGCCTTCCCAGAAGAGTTGAAGCTGTTATAGCTGCAAAGGGTGGGCCAACTCAATATTGAACCCTACGGACTAAGACTGGGATGCCATTAAAGTTCATGTGTGTGTAAAGGCAGGCGTCCCAATACTTTTGGCAATATATTGTGTGTGTGTATTTTATATATATATATATATATATATATGACAATTTATTGCTGTCTGGGTGCATGGAAAGATTTTCTCTCACTTCCTGTCCCGGTGACACCTTGTGTGACAGGTCATTTTTAGGAAAGGAAAGTGAAAGGGCTTCTTTCGAACAGGCCTCATAGACAGTAAGAAAAACATGCCAGAGGTTCTGACCCTCCATCCCTCAGAACTATAAAAAGGTTTGCACTGTAAAGCTTTAGACACTTTGTCTCTTGGGGAGTCTATTAAGGAAATCTCCCTGGTCTGCACAACTGCTGTGCCCGTTATGAAGGGTTCCCACCATCCCTGCCAGATTGCTGTTCATCTTATATTTTAGAGAATGTAACTGGATGAGCTGGAGCACACAAAGGTGGGAACACCTAAAGTCTGAGGTGGACAAGAAAGAGTCTGCAATTTTAGCAGGGTGATCTTGCTGTTGGAGGATCTAATGTATAGGGTAACCCATGGGTACACTTGCCGTTAGCTGCCAAACTGTGTTCTGCACCTGTCTACTCTGTACATTGATGCTCAAGCTACATTTTTACAAGAAAAGAAACCTAGTGGGCGAGCATCCTTGTAAACAACACAGTCATTTTTGTCATAAAGGTCACAAATTTGTGCCCCATGTTATGGCGTTTAATGGAGGATTACATGTCAGTAACAATTTCATTATTCCAGATAAAAGTAATTATTACTGACGAGAGTAGCAGTAGTTTAGTTCTGTTATGGGAATTTGGTTGCATGCGTGCTTCTCTTAGCGATTGTACATTTCATCCTTCCAGCAAGGCGGTGGTGGGTGTTACCATGTCAGCAAAGGTGACCCGATACAACGTGATAGGGTTAAGCGTCCTGGTATTTAGAACCCCTGCCTTCCTAAATGCCCTCCGGGCCGCTGACATTTTTCGTGTTGTGAATCCTTATTCGTTGTGAAAAGGAAAAGTGTGACATGGCAGCTGGCGCAGGGCCGCAGGGTAGGATGGCAAGGTTGTAAGGAACGCTTCCTAGTGACAACACAGATCTACCCAACTCCTGGGATCTGCTGCAGTGGAGACTTAAAGGGATACATCGGTTCGTCTGTTAACACATTGTTGAATTCATGGTTCCTTTTTAGAAATTTGTAGGAATTTTTTTCCTTGTTTTATATCTTTTTGGGAAGATCATGTTAGGCCCCTTCAATTTTTTTTATGTTTATTGCTATGGAAATGAAAGGGCACACTGCTGGCAGCATTTATTCCTGAAGGAGAACAATTACATCTCTTAGCCTACCTATCAGGTCTGCATCCCTGGTCCCATAGGTATGAAATTTTACATTGTGACTGGCAGAATTCCTCTCTTGTCTGTGGACTACCTTTTTCTTGTAGCGGAATCATTGGTCCTACAGTTTTGTACAATCATTGCATAAACAGTAAAAATGTTGTCTACCAAGAACATTGTAAATTTGCAAAATATACAATCCTCTGTGCCAGATGTCATAAGAACGATGATACCAGATACAGATAATGCACATTTTTATTGTGTGAAGACTGTTAGCTTGGTCAGGCTATTGATAGTCAAATACTCCAGCTGTTGTGAACATAGAGGATGAATTGATCCACAGTGCCTGTAGCAGGAGAGGTCAGTGAGAGCTTGTTTTAGGCATGGTTCACACCTATGCGTTTTTTACTGCATTTTGCAAAAAGGTGCTACAGTCCATTTAACATGGTTTCGTATGGGACACGTTCCCATTTACACATCTTTCAGCCACTGTGTTTTTGGAAAAGGTCATGAACTTTTTTAAATACAACACAGTACATTTTTAATTCAATAGACTTAAACGGACACTCAGCAGAAACACTTGTAGTGTGTTTTTGATGTGTTTGTTTTTTTCTGCCAATAGGAAAGTATTGATTTGATGCCATTTTGATAAAGCTTTGATGCAACTTTGGATGGGTGCGACTTTTTTTTGTTAATTGGAAAGTATGACAGTTCTGTTCATGTAGTGAGACTTTGATGTGACTTTACACTCTCTGGCACTCAAGTAGCAGCCAAGTTGCACCCATCCAAAGTCGCAGCCAAGTTGCACCCATCCAAAGTCGCAGCCAAGTTGCACCCATCCAAAGTCGCAGCCAAGTTGCACCCATCCAAAGTCGCAGCCAAGTTGCACCCATCCAAAGTCGCAGCCAAGTTGCACCCATCCAAAGTCGCAGCCAAGTTGCACCCATCCAAAGTCGCAGCCAAGTTGCACCCATCCAAAGTCGCAGCCAAGTTGCACCCATCCAAAGTCGCAGCCAAGTTGCTTCCCAAAGTCGCAGCCAAGTTGCACCCATCCAAAGTCCCATCCAAGTGACATCAAAGGCAATACTTTCCTATTGGCAAAAAAAAATACCGCCTTAAAAAAAACCCCCATATTGAGAATTTTTTTTTTTTTTTTAAACTACTTGCCAACTCCAGCAGCTCTTGTCAAAGAAATGTAATCTTGTGTCACTTCCTGTTTTGGGGTGTGAATGCACCCTCAGTCCAGGGAGAGAAGAGGGAATAAGGAACTGAGTGCAAGCACTACATTTTACACACGTTAAATTAGCACATTTAACCCTTTGATCGCCCCTGTTAATCCTTTGATCACCCAACCAGTGCCATTAGTACAGTGTCAGTATATAGAATTTTTCACTGATCACTTTATTCCTGCCACTAGTGAAATCATGCTATAGGTTGCTGATCACTGCCATTACTTGTATAGTGTTTGTACGGATCAAGTATTGCCTCCTTTGTATAGTGTCCCCAAAAACACAGAGTTAGCATGAACGGCCCCGTTCACTGCCAGATATAGCGTTTAGCCGCTTGTGGGCCAAGGCAATTTATACGCACAACAATACATCGCTGCCCACCCAAATTCAGCTATTGCTGGACAATTTGCATGGAAACCTATCACAGTTTCTGAATTTAAAATAATGTAAGGGCAGAGGGGATATCTAGAGTCTGATAGACCCCAGATTTCTCAAAAAAGAATATATGACAATGCCCATTGATGTTATAGGGGATATTTGCATTCCCTGTGATAGAAGTAGAAGTAAAAGTGATAAAAAAAATAAAAATAAAAATGAAAGGGACAGTGTAAAAAAATTATTACAAAAATCAAAATAACTAAAAAAAAAAAAAAAAAAAAAAGCACCCTTGCACCCACCTTCTCCCCACTTTCGCGCACCTGCGTGAGCGAGCGTTGACCCTGTGCCAGTATGTAAACAGCGGTTGCACCATGCATGTGAAGTATTGCCGTGAACATCAGATCAAGGGCAGTTATTCTAGCACTAGACCTCCTGTGTAAATCTAAAATGGTAGCTTGTAAAGGCTTTTAAAGCGTTGCCTATGGATATTAAAAATGTATGCTGTTTGTCGCCATTGCATGGGGCACGTGCAGTTTTAAAGCATGTCATGTTTGGTATCGTTTTACTCGGCATACCATCATCTTTCATATTTTACCAAATAATTGGCCAATATATTATGTTTTTGTGCATTAAAAGTAAAAAAAGTGTGTTTTTTTTTTTTAAATTGCTGTGCAAATACTGTGTGACGTAAAAAAATTTCAACACTCACCGTTTAATTCTCTAGGGCCTCTGCTTTAAAAAAAAATTATAATGTTTGGGGGTTCAAAGTAATTTTCTAGCAAAAAAAACTGTTTTTTCATGTGAACAAACAGTGTCAGAAAAGGCTTGGTCTTCAAGAGTGGGTGATGTGTGGCATAAGCTTCTAATGTTGGCCCTGAAATGTCTGGATAGTAGAAGCATCCCCTCCAGATGACCCCTTTTTGGAAAGTAGACACTCCAAGGTCTTTGCTAAGAGGCATGGTGAATGTTTTGCCGATCTTATTTGTTGCCACATGTTTTTGGAAAACAAAGAAAGAAAACAAAAAATATATTTTTAATTTTCTTTTTTTTCAAAACCCTGTGACAAAAATATCTGTAAAATACTCACCATGCCTCTTATCAAATTCCTTGGGGTGTCTTTTGAGGGGGGAGGTGTTTGTACTGTTCTGGCATTTTAAAGCCTCCGAAACTGTGATAGGTAGTGGGTAAGTGATATGAAGAAATATGCCCTTTAAAAGCCTGGAGGTGGTCATTGGAATCTGGGGGCTTGTATGTGGCTAGGTTGCCAAAAAGTCTTTCACATGTGGTATCCCCATACTCAGAAGAAGTAGGAGAATGTGTTTGGGGTGTTATACATATACCCATGGCATGCATCAACAATATATAATTTAAAATGACAACTTTGTGTAAAAAAAAAAAATGCCAATCACAAAATTTGTGGCAAAAAATAAACTCAACATAGACTCAACATAGACTCAACATACCTCTCTGCAAAATCCTTGGGGTGTCTACTTTCCAAAAAGGGGCCATTTGGGGGGTTTATAC